GTAGCTCTGTACCATGCTACATTGGTTACTGTAGCTCTGTACCATGCCATATTGGTTACTGTAGTTCTGTACCATGCTACATTGATTACTGTAGCTCTCTACCATGCTACACTGGTTACTGTAGCTCTGTACTGTGCTACATTAGTTACTGTAGCTCTATAGCATGTCACATTGGTTGCTGTAGCTCTGTACCATGTCACATTGGTTACTGCATCTCTGTACCATGCTACACTGGTTACTGTAGTTCTGTACCATGCTACATTAGTTACTGTAGCTCTGTACCTTGTTGCATTGATTACTATAGGTTTGTAGCATGCCACATTTGTTATTGTAGCTCTGTAGCATGTCTTGAATCTAGGTATTACAGTGCATCTAACTTCATTAATGTTTAAAATTGTTGGGCTATTTGTGGCCTATTTGCTTTCATGTGCATTTTAGCTTTTTTTTTTAAAGTTTTGTAAACAATGCCATTGATATTTTGACGGAAGTGGCACTGAATTTATACATTCCTTTGAGTTATGTGAACTTTTCACAGTCTTATTGTGTCTTCTAATGCATGCTTATAAAAAAGACCTTACTTTATTTGTCTTTTTCAGTTTCTTGCATTGATGTTTGATGGTTTTCATTGTAGAGGCCTTTCTTTTCCTTTGTTAAACTTATTTTCACACTGAATCTCTGACTGAGTGGATTGCCTTCACAATTCCTTTTTCAGAAAGATTGTTTGATTTTGGTGTTGGTGCTTATTGGAATAAACTTTTTCCTTAGTAGGTCTTTTGTTGCTGTGTGCCATAAGCTATGCTTCCACTTTCACTTATTCGGCAAATAATTTTAATTTTCCACTAATTTTTTCAGTGGCCCACTGTTCATTAAATAGCATGATACGTAATCTGTATATTTGAATAATTTTCAAAGTGGCTAGTGTTTTAAGTTTCTAGTTTTGTCCTCTAGACAATGTATTGGTAGTTACTTTATGGTGCGATAATACAGTTCTTTCCAGCAGAATATTCTGTGTGTTGATGAAAATGATGTGTACTCTACAGCTGTTAGAGGAAATGTTCTGTCCATGTCATTAGGCTACAATAGCATCTAATTCACATTTCTTCATTGTTTTGTTCTGCGTTATTTGTCCATTGATGAACATGGGTATTGAAGTCTCTCCATGTTATCATATTGTTATCTATCACTCCTTTTAGATAGAATAATGTTTGTTTCATAAAATTGACAGCTAAATGTTGACTATGTATGCATTTTAAATAGCTATATATTTTAAACTGATTCCTTGACTATTATATTGTGACCTTCTTTGCCCCTTTTTCAGTTTTTAATTTTTTAAATTATTATTTTAGGTGTATGAACATTTTGCCCGTATATGTACAGTCTATGCACTGTCTATATGTATGCCTGGTGCCCACCTAGACCAGAAGAGCTTATTGGATCCCTTGGAACTGGAGTTAAAGATGGTTTTGAGCTGCCATGAGGGTGCTGGGAGTTGAACCTGGGTCAAGAACCTGGGAAGAGCAGCAAGCGCATTTAACCACTGAGCCATCTCTCCAGCCACTTTAGTATTTGTCTTAGAGTCTATTTTTCTTGTGTGGTATAAAAAAATCCTGCTTAAGCTTGACTTGCATCTGTGTGAAGCATCTTTTTCTCTCCTTGTATGTTTAGTTTGTTCATATCTTTACTGGCGAAAGCAATTTCTGGCTGGGCTTGGGTTTTATCTGCTTTGATTTTAAATTCATGTAACCTGTCTTGGAATCACAGAATTTATTCCATTTAAATTCATGGTAATTATTGATGGATGACAACTTAAATAATGCAAGTTACTTATCTGAAACAAAGCACTGGCGGGTTTAGGTATCTGTCTTCCGTGAAGTCTTTGTCTCACTAGCATTGCTGGTACCCACTGCACTGTCATAAGCCACCATTTTGGTGTGACTTCTGCCACAATCCTAGCCACAGCGGGTTTGTACCTTTCAGGGTAGGGGTGTGTTGATTAGAAACGTAAGGTAGGAGGAACAGAGATAAGAAAGAAACACAGAGACACAGGATCGTACTGGGAGGGCATCTCAGCGGATCCTGAATGTTGAATTCTGAGTCTTCCCACATTTATTTATTTATTTGTTTGTTTGTTTATTTATTTATTTATTTTTCAAAGTTTATTAAATTATAAAAGTTTCCATTTCTGCCCCCCTCCCAACACCCTCCCACTCCCCCCACTCCCTCTCCTCCTCCCTCTCCATCCCTAAGAGCAGTCAGGGTTTCCTGCCCTGTGGGTGGTTCAAGTTCCTCCCCCCTCCCTCCAGGTCCAGGAAGGTGAGTATCCAAACAGACTGGATCCCAAAAAATCCAGTATATGCAGAGGAAACAAATCCCAGTGTCATTGTCAATGGCTTTTCAGAAAGACTCCGGGCCAGCCACATTCAGAGAATCCGGCCACATTCAGAGAATCTGGTTGGATCACGTGCTCGTTCAGTCCCAGTCCAACTGGCCTTGGTGAACTCTCATTAGATCAGTCCCCTTGTATCAGTGGGTGATCGCATCCCTCGCAGTCCTGATTTCCTTTTTCATGTTCTTCCTCCTTCTGCTCCTCATTTGGACCTTGGGGGGCTCAGTCCGGTGCTCCAATGTGGGTCTCCGTCTGTATCGCCATCCATCGTCGGATGAAGGTTCCCTCTGGTCTTGCCTTCTTTGCTCACGTTCTCTTTCCTTCTGCTTCTCGTTTGGACCTAGGGAGTTAAGTCCAGTGTTCCAATGTGGGTCTCTGTCTCTATCTCCATCCATCGCCAGATGAAGGTTCTGGGACTTAAAAGACTGCTTTAACATTACTCAGAGGACAATCAGAACAGTTACTTGCTTCAATACTTGAGACATTAAGCCATTATATCCTGAGCAAAGTAGTTGATGTTTGGGGCAGTGAACACACTCTAGACCAAGTACCCGATGTCAACCTCCTATTTTAAAAGAAGGAGCACAGGAGTATGCTTGAATTCTCTGACCTATGGTCATGGTGGGGTGGATCCACCTCTGTGGGCCATCTTAATGTCCAAAACACCAAGTAACTACGCCCTAGATGAGGACACCTTGTTTTGTCGTCACACCTGTTGTCAACAACTTTGATAATGCAAAGTAAGCTCAAACCCTCTGACTTTCAGACAAAGTGGAACAGACTGTCACTGTTAAGGTTAAACACATTCTTACTTCCACTTAGAATAGATTTGATGTATGGTTTATTTAGAAACGTGCTCCTTATTTTTTAAGCTTATTGACATTTTCTTAAATCTTTTACTCTTGATTTCTACCCTAATCAAATACACGAAATTGTATATGTGTTTCTACCAATTTTACAAATAATCTTTAAGTGACTTGAACTTTAACGATGAGATATTATTTTATAGCCATCACTGTGGTGGCAAAAATTTTCTAAAATTAAAATAATTCTCTATATTTGCAACTTAATCTTTATTGCTTAGCAAGTATGATGACTTAACTCATCCTTCATAATTTGGGATTATAATAGTTAAGAAAACATTTCATATTTCTCTGTTTTTCCTCTGGAGGAGGAGAAATTGATATCAGCGCTGTGGAAAGTGCCTTAAAAGATGCGGAGAGAGAGAGAGTGTCCAGAGAACAGCGGGAGCAGAAGTCATTTCCAGCTTATGGTGAACATTTTCAGTATTAGATAAAATTTCAAAACAGTTGATATGTCTTCAGGAGAGTTAGAATAGTCATCCAATTATTCAGCCTTGCCAATGTCTGTGGAGTTATAAGGGAGTTGTGATAATACTCTTAGAAATTTGCATTATCCAACTATCTATGATAATTATGTAACTTTTATAAATAAGAGATAATACTAAATATCTATAATCTCAGATAAAGCTAACTTTAATATTTAGAAATGTATAAATTGTCACTTAATAGAACGTACACATGCCTTTCGAATCACAAATCTTGTCACCAGGGATAAGGAAGGCTGGTGATGACATTTCATTCCATTGAGCTGTACTGGTTTAAGACCTACAGGGAAATAGGAGGAAGCAGAGAGTTGTGTGAATTTGTTAATAGAGGAAAGGTCATTGTAGTAGGAAAAAATATGAAACAAGGAAGTATTTTTGCATTAACTCACTTGGTGCTGTCTCAGGTGCCAAAGAATTGATACGTTTACCATAATAAAAATTTGCTTCATATATTATTTTGAGATGAGTACATTCTAGGATCAAAGTAATCTCATGGTTTGCATTTGTGAACAAATTAGCATAATATCTCTTTCTCAACCATCATTTGGGGCATGGATTTGTTAATGGCTAGTGGAAATGTATAGGTGACAACAGTGTGTGAAAACTACTGAGAGTGAGGAAAACACAAATCAGGAGTCCGGATTAGAGCTGGAGAGGTGGTTTAGGAGTTGAGAGCGCTGGCTGCTTTTCCAGAGGACCCAGGTTCAATTCTCAACTCTAATAGTGGTTCACAACCACCAGTAACTCCAGTTCTAAGAGATATGACACCCTCTTCTGACCCTCACAAGGACCAGGCACATGACTGATGCACAGACATAGTACACAGAACACCCATGCACATAAAATAAAAAAGCCAAATTAGCAGAAGTGCTTTGTTTTGCTTTTGTTCTTCCTTTCTTATTAATTTTACAGTAATCAATCTCATATATTTATATAATTAATTTTAATAATATACTACATTGTATATACTAAGTAATTTCCTCTTTTATTTTTAAAAAATGTTATATTTATTTTAGGTTTCTTTCAGTGCCAGTAGTAGAAATAACAAAACTGGCAAAGGTATCAAAATTTGGGAGAAGGAAACAAACTATTTCGAGAGGCTCATAAAGATCAAGATGTAGTAACCAAACAAATCCTACCATGTGTTTAAATATTTATGTTCAAACTTTTAAATTGACTGTCTAACTGCTATAGATAACCTTAGTTATTTCTTAATTCTCTTTAAACATGTAGTTTCTTTTATGCTTATTTTCAGCATTAAAATAAGCAAATAGATTGATTTCAGTTTATTAACAATCCCCTTGAATACTTAAGGACCTTGCTTGAGGTGCCTTTTTATGTTGACATAATATGCATGGTACAAAAAATTTACATTTGTTTTATTTTGACTTGTATTTCAACCTCCTTATGTCTCTGTCCTTTGAAGGAATGCAAGTGGATGTTCGTGATCTTGACAGTCTACTTGGAAACATGACTTTCAAATTGACACCCGAGGAATCACCCTCAAAGTCCCCAGATTATGGTAAGTGATGCCAGAGCATTGTACCCTCAAGAGAACTTGGGGCTTGAAGCTGATGTTGATAGTGTTTGTTTAGTTTGAGTAAGAATAACTTGTTCCTTTTAATTTAGTAATGTGAATTGATGTTTTCACCATTTCTTCATTTCTTCATTCACCAAGTTATTGCTGGGTACTTAATAGCCATATGTGACTACTTGTATTTTCATAGTACTTACATTGTATTAGGTATTAAAGTTAATCTAGAGATGAGAAAAAAGTCTAGAAGGATGCATATACATTGTATCCAAATATTATGTTATGTTCTATAGGGGGTCTGAGTATCCCTGTCTTTGTTTTTTTTTTTTGCTGCTGGTCCTGGAATCAATCCTCCATGGAATGACTAGACTTAAAGGTACATGGTCTTTTGCCTCACCCTTAATTCATTTTAGAATTCAGGAAATGCATCCAAAGATCCACTGGGCATACACAAGGGTTGTGTCTCTTTATCTAAAGTATAGTGAGATTGTGCGTGCGTGCCTGTGTGTGTGTGCGCGCGCGCATATGTGTGTGCGTGTGTGTGTGTGTGTGTGTTAGTGGACTGTGTCACATGCACAATGTTTCCAGAAGTATTTCTTTTGCTTTGAAGGAAGAAATATTGGTGACGACATGAAAACAATCTCTGAATACGAGGAAATGGAACCTGAAATTCAGTTCCAGCCCTCGGAACTGGTGAATTACCTACCGACTGAAGGTGAGAATGTGAAATGACAAGTCGTTTTCTTCAGAGAGATTTATATGTTCATTTAGAAGATTTTCTACAATTCAATTATTTTCTGTTCGTAAATAACTAATGTACTGACTTTAGTTTTTTAAATTTCTTATGACTTTCACATGTGAGTACCACATATTTTCATCATATTTGCCCCACCTTTCCCCACCCCGTCCTATGTGTCTCCTCAGCCCTCTGTCATATTAATGCCTTTATCTATAATTATATATATATGCATATATTATGTCTTTATCTAATTATATATGCATATACATTATGTCTTTATTTATAATTACATATGCATATATGTATGAGCGAGCTACTGAGACCCATTACTGTTGTCCATATGTACTTGGGTGTGGGGTTGGCCACTTGGGCACAGGTATCCTGTCAGGGGGCTTGTCCTTGAGGAAAACTGCCTCTTCTCCCTGAGCAGCTCTCAACTGCCTAATCTCTTCAACTAGAGGTGGGCCCTTGTGGCTCTCTTTTTCTTTCTCCCATTTGTGGCTGCAGTGTGGACTGGTGGGATTTTCCTGGGTACATCATCACTGTTATATCCATAAGACACTGTTTTACGTTTGTCCTCCTGGTCCTGGGGCTCTTTAAATCTTTATTTTTCCCCTTCTTTGATATTCCTTGAGCCTTGGGTATAGGGATTGTGTTATCACTATCCCATTTGGGAATAGGACTTAACAGTTACTTATTCTTTGCACTTGGATTCATTGTGGTTCTCTGTAATAGCTTCTGCCTGCTGTAAAAAGTAACTTCTTTGATGGGAGAGTGAGATCCATACTAAGATACAGGTATAAGGAAAAGTAGTTAGAAGGCAGTTAATCTGTATCTGGTTTTAACATGACTGTAGGAGGTTTCCCCTCTAGAGCCTCTGGCCTCATGAGCCACAGATTCTTATTTAGGCATGAGGTTCTTGTATGGGTTCCTTATATTAAATGGACTTTAAGAACAATCAGTTTGTGGTACTCCTGATACTTTAATGCCACTATTACACCACTGTTGTTTTTTTTCTGGACCAGTTATTGAAAATTGAAGGATCTGTAGCTTGGAAAGACAGTTGATAACATTTCTCCTCCGAAGCTTTTGTAGCACCATTTAACACTCTTAAAAACTAGTTGTCACCAAGTGGTGGTGGCGTACACCTTTAATCACAGCACTTGGGAGGCAGAGGCAGGTGGATCTCTGTGAGTCTGAGGCCATCCTGGTCTACAGAGCAAGTTACAGGACATACAGAGAAACCCTGTCTCAAAAAACAAAGCAAACTAACAAACAAAAGCTAGTTACCAGTGAGAAGGCCTCTGAGTCAGTATTAGCTTTATTTTCCCAAGTCCTTTACCACACAATCCTATTTCCTGCTTAAGTAGGGAATCACTCAAAAAAGAAAAACTTTTAGGAGGCATTATTATTTTATCTTAAGAAATGCTAAGAAATACATTCTTTTAATTTGAGAAATCCCATCAAAGATGAGACATAGTGCATCTTAACTCATTGTATTGGTGAGCTCAGCTGGGGTTACATATCAAGACCTGTACAAGACGGGGCCTGCCACTATGTCATCATACCTGGGGGAGGAGTGCATGAGGCCCCACCCTGCACTGAAGGGAGTCTGTGGGCAGTTAGTGGGTACTGGGGGAGGGCTGTCATTTTCCTCACTGGTGAAGCCCATGATAAGTTGCTCATGTTCCGGGAAATAAACTCCCACTCAGGCAAACAACTTTAATTAAACTCAGTGGGGGAAATACTTTTTAACTTAGGAGGAGGTTGTCCAGAAGAAGGTTTCTTTCTGTAGAAGAGACTGGTAATTTTGGGGGTGGAAGATTAAAAAAAAAATCCAAAACTCAGTACATACTGTGGGAAATTGTCAAACAGTAAGAAATTTCTAGCTCTTATTCTTTAATCCATTGAGAGTCCCAAAGTTTAAGATGAGATTCAGTGAAGGGAAATGGGAGAAAGTGAGATCAGGAGCACAGAAGACGCTCAGCTCCGAGAGCCCTTACCGTCTTTGTGAGCTGATGGCTTCCACACCGTCTTTATAATCTTCACATTCTTTGCCAGGATTTTATTCAAGTTTTATATGCAATTGAAAGATTTACCTTAGTAGGTTTAATGTGTGTGATACAAAGGCCCTGAAAGAGAAGTGAAGGGGTAAGACACTAAAATTTCATCCTATCCACACTTGATGTATTCAGAGTACATTTGTTCCTTTAATCCATTCTAACACTACAGAAGATCTCTTAATAATCAAAAAATAGTAAGAAATTTCTCTCAGAAAACCCAACAAAACCAGTGTCAGAAAAGAAATTTCAGCCTCACTGACTAGAACCTGCAGCTTGTTGCCTATTGCCACTGCCCCCTTTCAGTGATCAACTAACCAGTCTCTTAAAATGTCGTGTGTGCTGGTCTAGAGAAGAGTCTTTTATTCTACTTCATTCCTGAACACCCTTTTAACACTTTAAGTGGTAATTTAACTGTGGCCTTTGCACCAAAACTAGGTCACAATTAAGAGTCACTGGTCTCTTTTAAAATCTCGCAGTAATTGTTTCTAAGGGAGAAGTGACCATGCTCAGTAAGCTACACTCTTCTGGGAAGCATGGGTTTGAATCACACAGGGAAGGAAAGGAAAGATCCAAACATAACCTGTGGTTAATAGACATTTACTGTAGTTTTGGGCTCTCAGGAAGTCAGGCTTATAAAACTATAAAAGACTCTCTAAAGCTGCATATTCATCACCTCAGAAATTCTCAAGAATATGCTGTCTTAACAACTCTATATTCATTCATCTATATGTATGTGATATATGTTGGTGAAACATATTTACCCAGAAAGAGAAGCCATGACAGTCCAAATTAGCGATTTTTCCAAGGTCAACTTGAATTTATGAGTTTATTGGAGTTACTAAGAGGAGTATGAATGAAGGTTACTTACAGGGCCCAGGATGACTTTTAAAAAGCAATTACATCATTGAAAAGCTCTTACAGTGAGGACACTAAGAGAGGCTTACATAGATCTAATCTACATGGGAAGTAGAAAGTAGGAAAAGACAAGATCTCCTGAGTAAATTGGGAGCATGGGAACCTTGGGGGAGGTTTGAAGTGGGACAGGAGAGGCAGGTAGGGGAGCAGAGAAAAATGTAGAGCTCAATAAAAATCAATAAAAAAAAGAAAGAAAATCCCATTCTGGCACAGGTGAGTCTCACAGAAGCTGTAACCCTGGAGCTCTCAGCATAGTTTGTAGGCAGCTGTGCAAGTCTGGGAGATCTCTCAGAGTTGAGATGCTGGAGACTCATTCCCTAAATTGTCCAGCTAAGTAGGAGCCGCTAAGAATTGGGCGAGTTCCTGCTTTCCCCAACTTGTGGTCTTTTGTTTACCTCCTAAGTCTAAAGAGCCTTCCTCTCCTTCCCAGAGGGATATCTTAATTGTAAGGAAACAGAAATACAATAGTGTCCATATGTGTAAGTGTTCATGTGTGTGTACAAGCAGGTATAGATGCTTGTGTGCACACACAGAGGCTAGAAGAGAGTGGAGAGTATGGTTCTTCACCTAATCCTTTGAGCAGTACCCCTCTGTGAACTGGGAGCTTCCATTTTCTCAGGTAGTTCAGAAGGCAGCAAGCCCCAGAAGTCCTCGTTTTTATCCTGTCAGTTGGGGTTACAGGTGTTCTGTGGGCGCCAATGTAGATGAAAGTTTCTGTCCTGCCTGGTCTCATAGCCGTTCAGTCCCAAAGAAACACACAGGCTTATATTAAGTATAAACTGTTTGGCCTATTAGCTTATTTTTTTTACTAGCTCTTACAACTTAACCCATAATTCTTGTTTATGTTAATCTTGTGACTTGGTACCATTTTATCAGTGAGGCATTGATCTCATCTTGCTTCCTCTGTGTCTGGCTGGTGACTGTGTCTGGCTGGTGACTGTGTCTGACTGGTGACTGTGTCTTTTCCTTTCCTCTTCCCAGAATTTTCTTAGTCAATTTGGCCCACCTAATACTTTCTGCCTTGCTACTGGCCAATTAGCATTTTATTAAACTAATACGAGTGATAAATCTTTACACTGCACAAGAGCATTCTCCCACAGCACTAACCCACTTGCTGTGTCAGTGCTAGAATGGGAATTCCACTCTGATGACATTGTAGCAAGACCTATTCATGGATGAGCCGCCTGTCCAGCTGTGGCTTCTTTCACTGAAATCATTGGTTTCCAACGGCCAGGAGGACAGTCAGAGAAACAGATAGGAATAAGGAGAAGAGATATAAGATGGATAAAATTAAATTGAAAATAGAATCAGGTTAAGAGACAGACCACACTGCAGTGAAGGATTAGCAGGTACTCCACAGGAAACATCTGGATACTCAGGTGACTGATAGTAGTTCCTTTTTGTGTTTAAAAGTAAGAAATCTGTGAGTTTTGTACTCTAAATCATAAAATACCCTTGTATCTTGCTGTCTCAGATTATCCCAAAATAAGTTAAAAGGGAATGCGTTTTAATTTAGCTGCTTTATTGTGTGTTTTTTTTTCTGGACAATTAGAAAAGCAAAGTTAAAGTTCTGATAGTCCTATAAAATGTTAACTTGCAATACAGAGATATAAATTATATATCTTACCTTATTAACACTTGCCAATCAAGTTAATAATAGCCAGAAATGAGTGTGTTTTTTTTTAAAAAAAATATCCTGTCTTTCTTACTTTCCATTCCTCTTGTCTTTCTAAGGAGGGAAAATTAATGTGCACAGCCAGGACAGTTTATTTATTTATAAACAAATAAACCTGAACATTTTCAGGATATAGGAAATGAAGGTTTTTTTTCTAAAGAAAAGTGTTAAGCAATGAACTAAAGTTAGTTTTATTCTGCTTTCTTGCTATTCCTGAAGATCTTTGTTAAAGTGAAAACTAAGATTCACCATCGTATTAGTAATAATGCTTCCCTAAATTCTGCAAATGCCTTTTTGAAACAAAGGACAGTGGTCCTGGAAAGCCCATACTCACTGCACAGGTCCAGATTCTTCGATAGGACTCGTTTCTGTGACACTCACCTGCAAGTTTGTTTGTCTCTCACATGTGCCTGGTCCCTGTGGAGATCAGACACCTAATCTCCTTTGGTGAACTAGAGATAAAGTCTAAAATTTAGTTGAATTAGGGGTAAATTAACTACCAAACCAAATAAGTGAAAGTTAAATAGGTTAACCTGAGAGCATTTCAGTAGGAGCTCTCTACAAAACATAACCCAACCTGTGATCTCAGACACATCAATGCTCACTTATGTTGTTTAATTTTTATCTAATTCTGTCACTGTAAAGGATAGTCAGTGTTCTTTAGAATATATTTTTGTTTATTCTTTCGTTTTTATTGCTTTCAACCTACCAGACAGAATATGTCTTATTTAATTATGTCCTTTGCTTGCAGTGAGAAATACAATCACTAGACAAACGCAGTCTTTATGGTGGCTCCATCCATTTCTAAAGCAGCAAATTATTTTTAAACTCATAGGTCTGCCTTAAATTGTGATAAAGTTGGTCTTTCTCATACTGTCAACATGAACTGGACTATGAGGAAAAATATATGCCTATTTTGTGGAAACATTCTTGCTTTTGGTCTAATTCATTTTCAAACAATTTAAGGTCAATTAAGGCATATGAGAAAAGATTATTAGATAATCTTCTTCTTCTAAATCAACAATAGAGTTTTAAACACTCTGCTTATGGTGACCTGACCATCTGAGGTGTTACTAGGATGGTGTGAGGGAAAATGTGTGTACTGAAGCCTCCTAAAACATGGGGTGTGAGACAAAGTGTGTGTACTGAAGCCTCCTGAAACACGGGGTGTGATGTGAAGGGTGTGTACTGAAGCCTCCTGAAACACGGGGTGTGA